GAGGCAGTATCACTACAGAAGTAGATTGACCAACCTTCCTTCCGAGGAGTGGCTGGTGGGTTTGAACCACCAGCCTTCTGGTTAGCAGTCAAGTGCCTTAGGCACTATGCTACCAGAGCTCCCACTGTATAATACTAGTTGATGTCTAACCTGGCTTCCCCCTTCTCCCCTTTTGGTGCTTATCTTGCAGAAGCAGCTGGTTTAGCCAATAGGCTGTATTAATTCTGTAGATGAGTTGGCCTGCCCTCATCTTTAGGCAGTTACTAGCTCTAAATCCTTACCACAGCCTCTCTAGGGGAATTCTGAAAGGATCTTCTTGTTCGTGCTTTCTTTAGTTAAAACAGTGTGCCATTAGGAAGAAAGGACGTCAAGGAACAAATGAGCTGCTGAACAAAGTATTTCTCCATTCATGTCATAGGTTGTGCTGGGCCCCCACTACACATGAGCAAGGAGAACTTTGATTTTCTCTGTAGCTGTGGTAGCTCTTTGCAACAAAGATAGGGTCAGGATTTGGATACCAAAAGTATCTAAGGAAATTACCAAAATTCTAGACTCCTTGTGTAATGTGGGGTGTTCTGTTGGCTTAGGGTGATGTTTGTGAGTTATGATGCCATTGGGTGGTGTCTGTCTCCCTAGATGACACTTCTAGAAGGCAGCATTGCAGTCAGTGGAACCTTCGCTTATGTGGCCCAGCAGGCCTGGATCCTCAATGCCACTCTGAGAGACAACATCCTCTTTGGGAAGGAGTTTGATGAAGAAAGGCAAGGAGTGTTTGGTTTCTGTCATGCTTCCCGTCTGGGTCACGTGAGATACAAGGCAGCCCAAGTCCAGCAGGTTGTACTCCAACCGTGTTCCTGACGTTGAGTCTCTTTGTGTCCTTCAGATACAACACTGTGCTGAACAGCTGCTGCCTGAGACCTGACCTGGCCATTCTTCCCAACAGCGACCTGACGGAGGTACAGGTCTTCTGCCGCTCACTGGTGGGGCAATGCATTTAGCAGAGAAGGTCCTGGGAGACTGGTGGTAGGGCTGTGCCTGAGTCCCTCCTAGAAACATGTTAAATGCTTTGAAGAAGAATCCACACAGGGAGTTTTGCTTTCATTGGGACTTTATGTTAGGAAAGCATCTGTGCCTGAGAGCAAGAATATTATCACTACCTGTTTTGTGCATGTAAGTATTTTATATGGCATGTGGATTTTAAATGAAATCCCATTGTTGACTCAGAGTTAGTATTTTTTCACTCTATTCATTTTCCAAACCACAGAGTTAAGCATGTGCATGTTGAGCGACTTCCCTGAATTTCATCCTGCTGGCCTCCTTGCTCACATATGGTCCATAGGAAGGCCTCTTTCATGAGAAAGAAAGAAGCCTTAGAACAAAGCCATCTTTCTCTTTGGTTCTCTGCCCTGCAGCAGGTCCAGAGGCATGTCTTTTAGCTAGTTATTGTTCTTCAGTGTTGAAACTTGTCTCCCAGGAGCTGCCTGAGGGCTCTCTGGAGCTGGCAGAGCTAAAAGTCAGTTAAATCCCTCAAACCAAATTTACTGAATGGTTTAATTAGTTGAGAAGTTCTCAAATTGTGCTCCCCAGATCAACAGCATCAGCATCACCTGGGAACTTGTTAGATATGCAGATTCTTAGGCCCTGTCCCAGGCAGACTGAGTCAGAAATTCTGGGGGCAAAGGAGGAAGCAGCAGTCTGTTTTAACAAGCCCTGGGGAAAATTTTCATGCACATAAAGTTTGAAAATCTCTGAATAATTGAATGTTTTTTTTTTCAGGACAAAATTTTTTTAGAATGCAGAACCAGTTACCATTTGACAATTGATTTATGCTTTCATTTAGTAAACATCAGGTGTTTATTACATGCCAGAAACTGCTTGGGCCTGGGAATATAAGCAATAGGACAGTAATATACACCCTGAAGGGGGTTACAGCGAAGAGAAGGAGACACCCAGACAAATAGACACAAAATAATGGGATGAATAGGAGGCCCTTGTCTTTTGAGTGTTAGTAGAGAAGAGGTTGGGGGAAGGTTCACAGAGGAGGAGGATGATGTCAGAACTGAGCAGACACAGGACAGAAAATGGCAAGACAGGTAGTTGTATGTGCTGCATAATACACGTACAATTTTACATGACTTAGATCGTAGGGTGTGGAGGGGGTTTGTGCAGTGGAGGCCGAGAACTACTGCAGAGGCCAAGTGGTAAGGGGCCTGATTTCTTTGCCATGTTTGGGTGTTTAGGTTCCATCCTTTAGGGGATAAAGGACTCTTGAAGAATCTTAAGCAAGGGTAGCATGTAGCACATGGCCAGCTCTGTGTTTTGGAAAGGTCTTTCTGCTGCGTGGAGAATGGATTGAAGGGAGGCACCAAGGGTTGCTGGCAAGGACAGATGCAGGCTTGATTGGTAACCAGATGGGCAGGGGAAGGGAGTCTGGAGGGGTTCCACAGTTCTAGAATAGGCCCTGGAAGGATCATAGTGGCAGATTATTCCAGGCTGGGAATTGAAGAGAAAGAACCTACTTTGATAGGGGAGGGGGAGGACGGGGGACAACTGACTGGTGTGGCTACTAAGCACTGTTGTGGACATGAGCTGGCAGCTTCATCATGCTTTCTGGGCTCCTGTAGATTGGTGAGCGAGGAGCCAACCTGAGTGGTGGGCAGCGCCAGAGAATCAGCCTTGCCCGGGCCTTATATAGCGACAGGAACATCTACATCCTGGATGACCCCCTCAGTGCCTTAGATGCCCACGTGGGCAACCACATCTTCAACAGTGCTATCCGGAAGCACCTCAAGTCCAAGACTGTGCTATTTGTTACCCACCAGTTACAGGTATGGCCTTTCTTCTCCAGGCTGTCTCCTGTGCCTGGGGAAGTCAGAAAGAAGGAGGTGGTCCTAGAGATTCCTGGATTCAAGAGTTTCATATCCTTAGCACATCCTTTCCTGGCTCCTATGTCATTGTGCCAGATGGCCACCTGAACCAGAGATTCTTGGAGCCGGGCAGCTTCTGCATATAAATCAGCAAGTAAAAGGGCTAAGAGGAATAGGCTGAAAATGGAGTTCGGGTATGAAGTAATTTGGAAAGCACTGGATTGTATCTCTATGCAAGTGGGAACTGTTTTGAGAAAACAAACTCTTCTTCCCTCTATCATTCCACTCTGGAGAAACAGCTCAAGGAGGTTGCCATCTGTTTGCAGATGTTGTCAAGTTTGGGGGAGTTAACCCCCAATTCCACCACAGAAAGTTTTTAATTATGTGCACTTCTGAGTGCAGTGAAAGGATGTGACTTTTGTTGCAAGGCCTGTGTGGCTTCATCAGCAGATTCATGCCAAAACTGTGGAGAAACTGCTCTTGGAACCAACATCCCAGGCACAATGAACTACAGTCAGCTGTCTCAGTCTGAGCACTACTGCCATTTTGGGCTGGATAATTTTTTGTCTAGGGGCTGTCCTGTGCATTTTAGAATGGTAAACAGCATTACTGGCAAATAGTACCCACTTCCGAGTTGTGATAAACAAGAATGTCTCCAGATTTTGACAGATATCTTCGGGAGGCTAAATCACCCCAGCTGAGAACCACTGAACTAACCGAGATGTGGGTATTTGAATATATCTACGCAAATACCAATAACACAATGTTGTCCCTGCCTTTATCTCTAGTACCTGGTGGATTGTGATGAAGTGATCTTCATGAAAGAGGGCTGTATCACCGAAAGGGGTACCCATGAGGAACTGATGAATTTAAATGGTGACTATGCCACCATTCTTAATAACCTGTTGCTGGGAGAGACACCCCCAGTTGAGGTAAGATTTTTTTTTTTTTTTTTTT